AAGAGTTGTTTTTCTTAGTGTCACTCCCTTCTCTCGGCAAACCAAAAAAAAAATCAAAGCATTCTTCTTGCATTTATCAAAGAAGTTTCAGAAATGATTACAATAAAAAATATAGCAAGTGTTTGTGCAATTTTACCCTTAAAACGAAAAAGTACCGAAATTGCTAATTTTTTTATTGTCAATCTAAAAAATCATAATTTATTTTTTTAATAACTTTGGTAAGTTTTCAAACAGAATGTTCATGTTTGAGGCATTGGACGTTTGGCATCAAATAAAACATATCTGTAAAGTTTCACNATTTACCCAAATCTTTACGGACTTTCAAAAAATACTGTCATTTAGTTGCGCCTCGGGGGCTGCTGAGCGCCTTTTTTCAAAAGCGCTCGAAACGAATTATTGCGCAAAAGGGCTATCTTGTAGTAAAATTTATCATACAAAGAAGGGGTACAGGCACATGAAAACACGATTCGGCTCCATACTTAGGAGGTCCAAGCTAGAGGAGTATATGCCAACCATCTTGGAATGGCAACGTCATTCCATCTCCCCATTAGGCCGAACAACATAAAGGAAGCCGATTCCATCACAATCAATTCGGAAACGGTAAGACAGGTTCACTTTTCATCTAGTATGGGTGCTAGGGCAGATTTGTAAGAAAGGCCTTCATGTTTTTTTGTCGTCGCCTCAAAACTATTTAGGAACTTAGGTGGGTACCTGGACATGTATAGACGGGCTGCAGATTTTGTGGGCTGGTCGAGGTAACCTCAGATCATATTCTATATCACTGCCAACCTAACAAAAATAATTGCTGTCAAAGTTCTGCGTTACCCTTTAACCATTGAACAGCTGCCATAAAGCAGTGTTTGCATTATTCAACTTTGCGTTCAACAATTGCGTTCAACTCAACGCAGGGTTGAACGCAAATGTTGAACGCAAAGTTGAACAATGCAAACACCTTTTTATGGCGAATATTTTGATATTTTTTCATATTTTGATATTTTTAGCCATTCAACTTTTTTTTCGTGCAACCCTGCGCTGAGTTGAACGCAAATGTTGAACGCAAAGTTGAACAATGCAAACACACTTTAAACTTTGACTTTTGAAAGAAAAACTTTAACTTGGTCTATTCTGTAAACTTCTTACACTATGCGTGATCTTTAATTAGTAATTCACGAGTACCTCAACAGATATTTATATTTTTAAACTATGTACATATGTATTTCTAAAAATTTTACAAAAACAACTAATTAATTTATCTCTTATACACATGTATTCGTTAATAGATTCCATGTCGATCTTCGTCCATATCCGATCATCTTGCGCATCGATCGTGAACTGGAGGCTAATCCTGCTTTCCGTGCAGCTCATCCCTCCAACCAACCAGACTGTCCACCGGAGTTGCCAAACAAATAGAATTTTCCGTCAACAACTGCAAAGCGCCGCAAAACTAAAAAGTGATCGCGAGTAGCATAACAACAGAAAGAGCAGCAATAACAAAACAAACAAAAAAACTAAATGCCATAACAGGCGAAGGCGAGCGAATAAAATTGAGAATGTAAAAACAAATGTGGCCGTCACAAGCAGTTGAACAAATTGAAAAACAAGTACTTGAAAAGAATTATGCGATCGGAAAAAATTATAACAGAAAAAGCAAAATGCATACAAATCACATTTTAAATGAGAACTTGTAAAAATATAACCAATTGACAAAGAGAAAAAAAGGTAAAAAGGAGGTAAAGAGAAGATATGATAGCTTGAGCCCTCAAAGTGGCCAGCGCTATTGACTTCTTAAACAAAAAAAAAAACATAAAAATTGTGAAAGTAAAACTCAAAGAAAAGAATTGTGAAAGCTGTTTAATCATTTGGAAAGTGAAAAAGCATTAAAAGTTTTGAAATATTTGGCAACAATTGTGAAAATTATCTAAAAGATATGAGCACATACGTATTTATATATTACTTACACATACATACATTCATACTCACACATTAAATTTAGAACTATGTTTAAGCGCTAAGCATTACTTAAAAAAAAAGTCTTCACAATTTCAAATTTCAAAATGACAAAAAAAGCAAAATAATGCAAAATTATTTATGCAAAGCAAAATTAAATTCAGGGATTTTACCAACTACAAAGGCAAGTAAGAGTGTAAAAGTAAGAGTTGAAAGGAAAACACACACACACAACCAACACATGCATACATATATACTTACAACTAGCCTACCAAATATTACAATACTTGATGTTAGAGTTAGCAAACAAATCTCGTAACAAAATACAAAACACAAATAAAAGAGTACAAAATGCAGTAAAATAATCACTGGAACATAAGAAGTACATACATACATTAAACAAATGAAAAAACGTAAATTTCCTACAATGGAATTAAGAAGTAAGCTAAAATTTGCTCTATAAAAAGAAGCATTACTTCCTGTGTATGACAAAAAATACAATTTTAAATAGTTTTTAATATCCTCAAAAATACTATGTACATATGTATGTATGTATTTACCATATGTATATGAATATATACATTTGTATTGCATAATCCAATTAAAAGATGTTTTAATCATAAAATTGACAGTTTCTTTCAGAATTCAATTTAGAATTGCAAACGGACATCTAGTTTCAAGAGTATTCCCATTTCTGTTTATTAGAAAGTAATTTTTAAGCAGAAAACAAAACCGACTTCATTTCTCATTTTTATAAGGTTATCGTTAATTTATTTATGATCCAATAATCAGATTTAAACCAAATTAGTATGGGACCACCTGTGAGGTAGCAGGTTCCCTTCATGCAGTAACATAATAAAAAACAATAAAATAAAAAAAAAGTATTCCGACGAACTGATAACCTTCTTCTTTTAGTTAAGTAGGTTAAAAAAATATTTAAATTTTCTTCATGATAAAACAGAACAAGATACGTCAATTACTTTTGTAAAGATGTATGCCCATAGGGTTTTACCTTAATACAGAAATCTATGCCCTTACTCATTTTCTTTCCATATACTGCTTTATAAAAAGGTCAGACGATTACTTACAAAGGATGCAATAGAACTTTTGTAACAGTATTTAATTATATAAGGCCTTTAAAAAGATCCGCGCTTGAAACAAATTTCCCCAATAAAAACTGTACTATGTATTTCATTCTAGAATTACTATGTGAAAAAAATAAAAGTGTTAAATCAGGCCCTTCTATTTTCAGGTATCGATATGTACATATGCCTCCACTTTGAAAAAACTAATTTTTTAAAATACATACTTGCAGTAAAAAAAAAAAAATTAAAAAAAAAAAAGTATGAACAAAATTTATAGTAGGTAGGCACTTCGAAATTTCAATTGAAACTGTAATTAATTTACTCATTTTGACTCAGCTATTCGCTTACTGGGAGTAAGCTATTTAAAAACTTCAAATGGATGGATTTAGAAACTAACTTATTTTAAATTAAATCAACTGGTTTTCATGACATTTCCGTGCAAAAAGGTTGTCCAAACTTCCATACTTTGGAAGTTGTCTTAATACCTCTGTACACAGTGCAAAAATTGAGTTTCCGGACTTCGGCCATTTCCCAGCGAAAAGTGGCGCCAACTTTTTCCGCCCTACTTTTCTGAAAAGGCACTATTAACCACGACTATCGGCCACATTTAGGCGCAGTAGGTAAACTATAGTTTTGTCATTGGCATGACCGCCGTGGTCATCATTCTAGGTATGTAGAAATTGCGGCAAAAAAGATCTGAACTTCCTGAAAACAATCAAGCGTCAAGGTACAGAATGGAAGACGAAAGCTTCATTCCAGCCAAAAAAACACGAAAAGCTCCTACAACAATCACGGCAAAGCTCGTATCATCCGTAAAGAGTTCACTCAAAATGGTGATCTATTACTAGCGCATATTATTTTGTGCGTTTGAAGCGTTTAATGGCAGTAGACGACCCAATTAGGCATCGAGTCGAACTTCAATAATAACACATTCAGTCGAGGTATATGGTATATAAATGACACTTAGTTGCGACTTTGACGTAATAGTTCTTCCGCCATCAATCTAACCTACCTCTCACATTATATGCACAGCAAAAAGAGTTTAATAGTAAACCTTGTGTTGAGAGAAATGCATTTAATTAACGTAACTAAACTCTTTTATCGTTTTTGGTTCAATAAAAAATTATTTGCAACATTGTTTATTTTGACCTCTATACACTGCGTCCGACATTTCTCACATCTCTTGATTCTCTTCAAAATAATAAACTTTCTTCAGTTCCTCAACACAGCCATTCCTAATACCCATTGTTTCGATTGCTAAACGGTGGTGTGTCCACGTATTTCATCCATGTCTATGTATTTAGTACATTTCTAATAAAAATGTTGTTAATTTTCAATCTCCCATTAGCAAACACCATTTTGAGGTAATTTTTGCAATAAGCATAGAGAGCTTTTAGCATCCAGAAAATATGTAGAGAGTTTAAAAGCTTTCTTCTCGAGGCAAAGCAGTGTCTATCCATGGATTACACTTTCTACCCGTCAATAAAAATCAATATTTGCTTAAATCAGTCACGATCAAAATAAATGCCGTGGGAGAAGCTTTTTAAAGCTTTCCAAAAGTTTAGTAAGACTGCGCCAGAGTAATGCTCTTTCTGATCACTAACGTGCAGAAAGACATTTTACTCTACAGAACGCTTATAAAGGCGCTGCCCACCACCTGTGTAGATCCGTGATTACCGAAACATAAATAGCCCGTGAGCGAAGTCCTTTAAAGCTTACCATAGATATTGTATGGGCGCGCACTGAGTAAACACTCCATCAGATCATCCCTACAGCCTGCTCAATTATTTATATTCTACCGTCAAGGATATGGGCAGGTTCTTTGACTACTATTTATGTTACTTGTCCTACATTTTGGGGTACTAATCTGAAATTTTGGAAATCCTGCCTGAATTATAAATCTACCTTAAATAAATACCTGGGTTAAATGATAGCAGTAGTGGGTTAAACTTTGAAGCTTTTTTAATTAATTAAGAACGAATCTCAAAAAAAAAACAACTCAAAGAATTCAAAATTCATAAAACCACAATTTTATGATACAAAAAAAATATGTTCTTCGGTGCAGAGAATTAAACGGGAACTCCCATTTGAATAACAAAATATGTATGTGATGAAGTATTGCACGATCAAATAGTGATGATTAGTATCAAAAAAATTAAATAAAATACCCGTACTTGTAAAATTTAAAATATTTTCCATGCATGTAACTACTTCAACTTAACAAGGAAAATATGTAAATGTTTTAAAATATTTAAAAAACCATGTGCTTAAATAAAATATGTACTTAAATAATTTTAATGCAATTCAATCAGAGATCTGTGCTCATAAATTACATTACTAACATTTCTGCATGTTTGCATATCGTCGTCTAAAGTACAAACCCGTGTATCGTCATTCTGCAAAACCGCGTAACGGACATTTGCTGCCAAAAATTGGATTTGCTCACACAAGCTCTTGGCCCAATCCTTATCCGAACGTCCTGAAAAATACTAGCCAAAAATGCGATTCCTTTATAAAAAAGAGAACCGTTATGAAAAATGAGTATTTTTTCTGTCTATAAAAAAATGTATACAAACTCGCAAACGCGGTTTTGCATTTTGTTCATACGCGGTTTTGTTCGTTAAACGACGACATGTGTTTAGTTACTACAACTGTCAAGTACACTAAATCATATAAATAATAAGGCATAATAAGAGTCAAACTTAAATACATACTCCTTACCTAAAATCTTTGCAATAAAATTTATAACTGTCTTAAAAGATTTTAAATAATAATAAATAAATAAAATCTTGTCTTTACTTTAAAATCGTGTAACTCAAATGTAGCACAGATGCACTCTAAATGTGCGCCGTGTAAAAAATTTTAGATGGAGAGGAACTTTATAACAATTTTCTATTAACGTAATGACAAGGGTACTTTAACCTTCAAATGACAACAGCGGTGTTCCGCTCACCCCACGACTTCATAAAAGTCTTAATATTATCTTGTTCATTTTGTTTCCTCTTTTTATTGCTTTCTATATTCCGTAAATAGGCAGAGAGAAAGTATTGCCACCGCTGGGGTTTCCAGTGACCTCTGTTACTATTTGTGTATTTTTTGTGATATTAAAATAAATGTACATAATTTTTTTACACAGAAATGGCTTCATCGTCAGATATTCAACGGTGATGAATGCTGTTCAGAGGGCAGAGGTATATCTGAATTTAAGTATTATGTATCGGTGCAGTCATAGGAGGAAAATGTTATTTTCAATAATGAAAAAAGTTACAATGTGGCAGTGTTGCCACAAAAAATTACCAAATTCCTCAAAAGCAAATGAAAGATCCTCAAAATCCGAACAAATTACACAAAATTTTCTTATTAATTATTTTCAAGTACTTAGCATAAATATTACTTACATTCTCCAATTCAATTGGTACATTTGTTCTTGCGGTTCAAACAAAGTATCACCGTTATTTTTTATTCCTTGGTTTGTATATAATATTTCTGCAACTATATCAGTGCTCAATCTGGTCCTCAAGTCAGTCCTACACATTTTTAAACTACTAAATATACGTTTTACTCAAACATTAGAAAAGGGCTGCATTAGTAATGCAAATATAATTTTTTTTTTAATTGGGAAACTTTATGAACCTGAAGAATATTTTAATTCCAAACCTTTTTTTCTATTATTTTTCTGTGTCTAATGAAGCATCAATATGAAGATCCTTATGATCGAATGAGGACGCATGAGAGAAAAATCGAAGAAAACCAAGCCCTTTTACATTGTGAACCAGAAGAAACCTAAATTTTTTGCTTGAACAACTCATGTTTGCATGGTGTTTAACGAAATGGGAAAAGTAGGTTTGAGAAATATTCGACAAGCCGCTTATGTGGTGTATTTCGCTCTTAATAAAACTTCGGAAAGTTTTTTGTTCAAAAATTTCCACACCACTCCAACAACTCTCTTGTGTAAAATATGGTTGCATTTGTTATCTGCATATATATCGAGAGGTAATTCCTCAAAATAAAAATCCTCAAGCCCTCCCGAAATT